CGCCCGTCCCCGCTGCTCTTCCACCCTGATCCCTGTTTTGGGGGGGGTGGGGTGGTCAGAGCTGCTGATCCAGGGGATTTAGTGCAAATCTAGTGTTTCTGCATCAATTCAAACAGCCCCCCAAGGGGCTGGGTGAGCCCGGGGGGGGGGAGGTTGGGGCAGGAATTTTCTCCCTTCCCCTGGAGATGCGGTGGGGAGGGATGCCTGTTCCTGCAGGGGCTGGGTTTGGAGGCCATAAAAGCTTTTTTTGTTGTTGTTTCAAGCAAAGTGCAAAGTGGATAAGGAGCAGGGGAGGGTTGGAAACACATTGCAACAAGTGCAGGAGCGATGGCCTTCCCCCCCCTGCACCCCCCCAGCAAGAAGGGGCCGGGGGATGCGCAGCATCTCTGAGAGCGGGAGCTGGAATTTTGCAAAAAAACCACCTTATCTCCAGATATTCGGGGTTACTTTCAGACAATTAGGAAGGCTCTCCTTGTCCTCCAAAGTGGGCAAACAGCTTTGCTGGCAACAGGGCTGCAGTTTTGGCACGTTCTCCTCACCCTGCCCTCCCTTCCCCGGAGTTTTAACTCATCCAACTCACCCCCAGCAACTTCGTGCCCGAGCTTTGCGGGATGGAGATTGATTGGCAAAAGGCAAAAACATGCAAAAAAACCACCTTATCTCCAGATATTCGGGGTTACTTTCAGACAATTAGGAAGGCTCTCCTTGTCCTCCAAAGTGGGCAAACAGCTTTGCTGGCAACAGGGCTGCAGTTTTGGCACGTTCTCCTCACCCTGCCCTCCCTTCCCTGGAGTTTTAACTCATCCAACTCACCCCCAGCAACTTCGTGCCCGAGCTTTGCGAGATGGGGATCGATTGGCAAAAAGCAAAAAGGTCAATTTCCCAATAATCTTGTTAAAAGGGAGAGATCCAGGCAGTTCCTTAACATTTTTTTTTTTTAATCTGTTGGGTTTTCCCTGCTGCAGGAGGGAACTGGAGCGCTGAGATTTTTTTAATTCTCTTTCGGAAAGAACAGGCACCACAGGAACGTTTCTGGAGGTTTCACAGGGAAGAAACCTCCATGTATTTTTTTTGTTTGGGAAGATTAAATTTGTTCCAGCAGAGCTATGCTGCTTTACACGAGCTGAGGAAAAAAAAAAAAAAAAGCAGTTGATGTGTTTCCTCTCTTGGAAACCTCATTTCTTTCTACCCTTCCTCCCGTGGACTCAGCGACATCGAAAGTTTTAAGTGTGATTAGTCACAGAAAAAGGTAAAATTTTGCCCCTCTAGTGCGAATAGTTGTTGTCTCACTAAAATATCACTTGTAAAGACACCTTCTTCTTGCTGCCCTGGTGCTTTGGAGTCGGGAATCGGGGTGATTTCCCCTGGAAAAGGGGGATTTTGCTGCTTGGAGAGCTGGGGGGGGGGGTATTGGATCCGTGGAGCCGTTGGTATTTGAAACAGCTTTGTATGGGAAGGTTCAAACAGCGTCAACACCCGGATATGCAAAACTCATCTGTCATTGCCCTATTGTCCCCGTTCCTGGTGCTTTCTGGGTTGGCATCCCGGCGGTGGAAGGGCAGAGGGACAGGTTTTTTGGGGTTGTTTTTTTGGGGGGGAGGGGGGAACTGGCATGGCTCCATCCCCATCCTCAATCACCTCCCTTCAATCCTGGTCCCCGGCCCCAGCCCCGTGGCCGTCGGGTACTTCAGGTTGTGGTCACTTGTGGCAGAAAGGGGTTTAATTCTCCCCAAAAACCACCTGTATTACCCTGGGTGGGGGCTGCGGTGCTGCCTGGTGGCACACAGAATTTTTTTGGGGGGGTGTGTGTGTCTGTTTTCCCTTTGGGACCATCAACAATTAGATATCAATGGCAAAAATGCAGGGTTTTTTGCCTTTTTTTTTTTTTTTAGCCTAATTTTTGGCTGACATGACAGCTAGTGACCAGGATCAGCAGTTTGGTTTTTTGCTCGCTTGATCTCAGCCAAAGGTAAAGGCTTTTTTTGGGGGGGGCAAGAGATTTAGGAGGGGCAGAGAGGGGCTGGACCATCCTATTCTGCCCTGAAAAGACCCCGCAGTGTTTTACAGCTACAAATCACCCCCCCTGTGCTGAATTACACACTTTTAAAATCTTGGGGATTTTTTTGGGGGTTTTTTTTGGCTTTTGGGGGTGTTTTCTTTACTGTTAGCAATGAGAGGCTTGTGCAGCAACAAGAAGATGCTGATTATTAGCATGAATGGAGCCCCCCC